TGAGGTCGTGGATTCAAATCCCCATCACACCAAACATGCTCGCCCTTTCAGCTGCAGGGCGTTATAATGAGACGGTCAATCCCACTATTCGTTGGTAAAAGAGTAGCCCAAGAGTTGGCAGTGGGTGGTGATGACTAGCTGCCTTCCATCTAGTCTCAAACTGCTAAATTAAGGACGGCTGGGGCAGATAGCCCTCGTGTAGCTTTGTGTGAAATTCAAAACAAACAAACAAACATCTGCCTGAGAATTATGACTAAAAATCCGTAAAATGCAATAAGATTGCTGTTCAAAAATTAATAATAAATAATAATATTAATAAATAATAAAACTACCAAATAACAACCATCAAATATAAGAGTAATATTGTAAGGTTTTCAACAGTTTTTGTTTTCCAGCAGACTATATTCATACAAGTACTTTGAATTTATAATAATTTTTTTAGGTAAATTTTGTACTTTATTTTAACTTAACAATTTGAATGGGAAAAGTGGATATCAAAAGTGTAAATTTATATCATGTAAAGCAATCAAATATTTTGATATTAGACTTTAAGATGCGAGATAAGTGTACTTGGTATTGTTTGGAAGATACTGTTTTTTTGTCCAGTTAATAGTCTCATTTTTCATTTTTTTTTCAAACAGGCAAAAAAAATATTCTCAGTGGAAAAAATTCTCAACAAACGAAAGCACAAAGATAAAGTGGAATATCTCATCAAATGGAAAAATTATCCAGAGTGAGATTTTTATGACTTTTTTTTTACTTTTGAAAGTAATACTTTTTGCCATAGTTTTTAAATATGTTAAAATAGTAATACCTGTTTTGATAAGTTGTTTTTTGGTAATGTTTTCATAGATGCTGCACAACATAGTCAACTGAGTTAAAAGATTCCTTAATATTTTTAGCCACGGCTCATGGAATAGCTGAGAGTTTTTTTGTTTGTTTTTTTCAAGTACAAACTTTTAGCTCATAGTGCTGTCATCTCTTGACCGATTTGAGATCTAATTACAGTTTTGGATTCAGGATTGATGTGTTTGACCACACCCAAGGTCTCATAGATTAATTTACTTTAATCCTGCCTAAAAGAATTTCAAGTGCTGCGGCTATTGAGGATTCCCTCTTGTTATTAGTTAAAAGTAACAGAGAATCAAAGTATTAAAAAATCTTTGCTGGTTTATTAGGTTTAATTAAAGCATAACGTGATAACCAGAACAAGTCTTGTATAAATTACATCATTATGTGCAAAAACTTAACATCTCTTAATTTCCTACTTTGTTGCAGCTCTGACAATGTTTTTTTTTTTTCAGTTCTGAAAACTGTTGGGAGCCAGAAGAAAATATCTTGAGTAAAGATCTAATAGAAGAGTATGAACAGAATATAAGATGTAAATCTTCCCCGAAAAAACGAAAAGGCCAAACTTCTGACACCCCTGGTGTAGAATTGAAGAAAGTCAAGGTTGAACTTAGGGTATATACATATATATGTGTATAATATGATCTATGTAAATTAGCACTGTGCTAAAATTTATATTTTATGTTACTTTGTTTGGTGTGTATATATATATATATATATATATATCCTTTGCAAGCTCTCCTTATTTTTCATATATTTATGCAAATTACCTTTATAAAACAATATAGTAAGTCTGACCTAAATAACAGCTCACCTTAAACTTCACATTAAAAACGTGAAGAAGATGAATATCAGTCCAAGAAATTTTAAATATAATTTGATAGAGTTTATGGCTTTGGGCAAACAAACGTAAGTTTCCGGATTAGGCTTAGGAAAATCAAAACTTTTTAAGTAAATTTAGGGCAGTTAATAATCACTCGTTAAAGCAAATATGTTTATTCTTAGCGATTTCTGTTTATGGTAATATTATTTTGTAGATTGAACTACTGGTGAGTTTCTACTGTACTATTGCATTTCCTCATTTCTGTTGTATTGATTTGACCTGGCATGGCTTAGCGTTTAGGGTCTTCAACTCTCATTTTATGGGTAATAAGTTTGCATCCCATAACCACTCCTGCTTGCCCCTTCAATCATTGGGGCATTATAATGTAATGGTCAATCCCACTTTTGGTTGGTAAGAGTTTGCAGTGAATGGCATTGATAGCTGCCTTCCCTCTAGTCTGTCACTTCTAAACTAGATACGGTTAGCGCAGATAGCCCTAAAGTTGAATTAATACTTGCAGATATGAATAAATAATAATATATGTTTATTTATAATCAATGGCAGTAAACTAAAATTGTCATGTTTACAAATTATTTTCAATTATTTAACTAGAATTAACACTACACTTGGTTACTTCAATGCATGATGTAACATTTTAGAATATAAATTTGTGTTTTGTAGCAATACTGTTAGATCTTACATTGTAGTAACATTGTAACTTAACACCTTCTTTTGTTACGAAGATGACTGAAAAAAAAAACAACTGAAACTTTGTCGAATTTTTCTTTAATTTACCATTTAGAACGTCATCTAATTAAGCCTTGCAATAACAAATTACTACAGTAAGATGCTGCTGAAAATGAAAGGTGTGAATGTAAGAAATTTTAAACAGCTCATGTAACATATAACATATTGTTTTTATGTATTTTATATTCATTTTTTATTACTTTAAATAGGATTGTTCTGAAATTTCTCACGAACTACTTGTCAAAGAAGATAAACCTGATACGTCTTTGCAGGAGACTTCAGACACAGAGAAAGATAAAGATGTTATCAAAAACATCCAGGAGAACAAAGAAAATTGTACATCTCTGCCAGAACAGGATAATTCTAAAGAAGTTGACAAAGATGATAAAGCCATTGTTAAAGATCTTCCATTGGTTGGTGTTGACAACACCCATTCTTTATTAGTTGATTCTCAAATAGAATCAAATGAGGTAGAACAACCCCAGGCTTCAGAAGGAAAAATTCGTAGTAGGCGTTCTACTAGTATGGCTGCCAGGAATTTCATCAAGTCAGTTTGTCAGCGAAAACATCACACAAAAAATAGTCAGAAATCTAGTGAAGTTGGTGAGAGTAAGGTTCTTCATAAAAAAACTCGTGAACCCAAGAAATCTGAACTGGATTATGATAGTGATAGTGATTCTTCAACCATTTTTATTCCTAAATCTTGTTTAGAGAACAGTGCAAATGTAAAAAATTATTCCTTCAGAAAGTACTTTTCATATCTTATTTTGAATACTGAAAAGGTTTACCTTCTAGGCCGTAATGGCAAGTATCGAGGCAAAGAACACTTTAAAGATGATGACAGGCTTAGTTTTCTCAGCAATCATGTTACAAAATCGTACAAATTAGTGAAACGTGAATCGGGCTACGAACACACAAGAGGTAGAAGCCGAGGTAGACCGAAAGGTTCAGTTCATGGTAGAGGAAGGGGGAAAATAAATGAAATGGTAAATAACAGACAAGATCCTAACAAATATGAGGTTTGTGATGTTAGTGAATCAAGTCAAGGAGATGAAGAAACTGAACCAGAATTTTCAGTAAAAAAACAAACTCTTGTTGTTCGGGGAGCCTTTAGGTCTAGAAGCCGTGGCCGAGGGAGAGTCCAAAGCATTAGACAAATTAATAGTGAAAAGCGTGCAATTATTAATACCAAAAATAAGATGTCCTGTATTGAGAAAAACTCAAAAGTTGATTTTGTAAAGAAAGATAAAAAAAATGTGTTGAAATCATTTTCTTCCCTCAAAAAGACTCGAGGAGGTAAATTCACCTGCTCTAAAGATAACCGTGTCAATTTTGTTAAGTCTAATGTTCTTTCAGGTGATAACCTCTATAACTTAAAAACTGTAGTTAAAAAACGGAAAGTTGGGAGACCACCAAAAAGTACGAAGGCGCAGGTGCAAGATCCTAATGCATTAATTAACCAGTTTGGTTTGCCACCCCATTTAGAGGGTCCTCCTCCACCAGAAGAAAACCCTGGGAAGGAAATCCTCAGAGGTCATCAGAAAAATCGTTTTTTTGTATCAATGCCAGATAAAACTTTGGTAGAAGTAAACTGTTCTGATACACAAAAGGCCCTGCTAAAAGCAGAATCCAAGTTGAAAGCTTTTTCAAGTACAACTCCAAATCAGGTAAGTTATGATAAAATAAATATTTAAAAGTATAGCTTACCTTTTGTTGTCTTCAAAATAATGATTTGACATATACAATTCTGTACAATGACATTATGTATCGTTTAGAAGCAACAAGTATTCGCAGTTATTTGTCTGTCTGATTCAAACTTACGAACGAGACAAAATTTCTAAGTTATTAGCTAATTTAAATCTGAATTTTTATTTTAATAGTACACTATTTGAAACTAACTTGGAGTGCTCGTCCCCTGGATGGAAGCTATGTAAATTCAGGGTTAATGAAAGGTTATCTTAGAAAATGACAAGTTGCTTCCTTTATATGTAATTGAAAAAAATGCCCATAAGAACTGCAAAATACAATATGTAAAACTGCAGATGTGCATGTACCTCTGCATGGACCCAACAAACCATCATGGCAAATTTGGTGAAGATACATCAACAGCGGGCGAAGTAGTGTTAAAAAAAAATGTGAAAACGCAAAAATGCCCATAAAAACCGCAAAATGCTAAACTGAAAATTTGTATGTACCTTTCCATACCAAATTTGGTGAAGATCATCATCATCATCATAGACAGCAGTACATCGATAATTCTACCGATGCTTAGCCGCCACACAATCATGAATTATTATTACAAAAAAATGGGGAAAAAAGTGGGATCTAACACGCCATGAATATGGAAATGGTAGAGCACATACAGGCGGGGGCACAGCATCTAAGCCATGCATACACAAGCACTCGGGACAAGTCCTCTGGGCGAGTCCAGCGACATCAGCGCGACAGCTTCCTTGCGGCTTTCACTGCCACACATCATAACATGCCTCGCTCGCCACTTACAGGAGGTTAGGTAGTGGTAAAAAATGCCCATAAAAACCACAAAATGCAACATGCAAAACTGAAAATTTGTATGCACTCCCACATAGGCCTAATGAACCTCCATACCAGTTTTGGCGAAGATCTATCCACACCCTGCGAAGTAGTTACATGGACAGACAACAGACAGTACTGTTATATTTATATAAATGCATTCAGAAGAAAGCATAAAATATTGCATTTAAAACAAGTTCCCATCTCAAAATGATACTAAGTTTGCAATAGTTGCTATTTGAATTAATTTAGTTAAACATTTTAAACAATATTCTGATTTGTTAAACTTCCAAAGAAACAGTGTTTATATTTAATTAGAGAGTACGTTTTGTACATTACTATTTGTTTTTAAGTAAAGAATTTGAAAATGTTTGTTTATTTGTTCAAACACAATGGTATTGTACTCCTATAATTTGTTTATTTGTTCAAACACAATAGTATGTTCATGTTACAGTATTGTACTCCTATAATTTGTTTATTTGTTCAAACACAATGGTATTGTACTCCTATAATTTGTTTATTTGTTCAAACACAATGGTATTGTACTCCTATAATTTGTTTATTTGTTCAAACACAATAGTGTGTTCATGTTACAGTATTGTACTCCTATAATTTGTTTATTTGTTCAAACACAATAGTATGTTCATGTTACAGAATTGTACTCCTATAATTTGTTTATTTGTTCAAACACAATAGTATGTTCATGTTACAGAATTGTACTCCTATAATTTGTTTATTTGTTCAAACATAATAGTATGTTCATGTTACAGAATTGTACTCCTATAATTTGTTTATTTGAAATGATGATGTGGACCTACTATTGTTTACATTTGTCGTTTATAACTAGTGATACATAGTTTTCAGAAGTAGTGAATGATGGGTTAAAAGTAATTTAGAAGCTACAGTTTATTCAGTTGCTAAGATAGTTTGTTTTGTATTGTTACTTATTTGATTCTATTGTGTTGATGTTTTGCAGATGAGTTAGGCTCAGTTTTGTGTTACTCAAATTGGTATACATTTTATTTTTATAATCGTGTGTACAGTTCATCAGAAAATATGTCAAACCTGCATGTGCAGCACTGATGCCTGATCGTTTATTGATTTGCTAGTAACAGTTGTGTTAATCTCAGTAACATCAAATTCTGTTTGATGCACGTCAGTACAGTATTCTGCGTTCACATTCACTATCATCTTATACCATTTGAACATTAATGTTTATCGAGTAGCTTGTAGTAGTAGTAGTAGTAGTAATGCTGGATATTGTTTGTGAGGAAAGGTAGCTTATGTGAGTTCTTCTTGGATGTAGGTGACATTTAAAAGGTCTGTAAGGAGAATAAATGAAAATCAGCTTCATATAAAATGTTTTCCTGACTATTGGGTTTAATGACCAAATAATTTGAATAATAACTTTTAAGTAAATGATGGTTATTTCCAAGTTTAAAGGTAAAACCATTAGTAGTTCCCAGTTAAGAAAGGTGTGACAATTTTTACCTCTCAAATTACTGGCTTGTGTTTATACCGTGTACCGCTGGAGAAGTCTGAATGCTGCATTATGTTTAGTAATTAGTCAAATTAATTGTTATGTTGACAGTATTTTTTGTTAATTATTTGTTATTAGGAATCCTATAATGACCAGAGTCATGAAGCCACAATTGGTTTGGTACATAAATAAACTGGATATAGACTATCATGACTAGTTCACAGATTGTTCAGTAAAAATTTGTCACAAAATAACTAAAGAACACACACACACACCTGGTGGATTGCCGATAACCTCATCATTAATTGTTTCAGGAGTACCGCACTTTAACCCGTATAAAAATTGTTTATCGTACAATGCATTATTTCTGAATTACAAGTTGTCATGTCATCTTTTCACTATAGTTAACAGCTGTAATGAGGAAATTTTGATATTTGATCTTACGTTCATTCTATTGTTGAATTTCATGTTATCCATATAGGACCCGTTAAGGCTTATTTGATAAAATTAACATGATATAATATCAAATGTTCTATCCTTTTCAGTATTCAAAAAAATAATAACATAGTAATTTCAATAATGAATTATCCACTCTCAAATTCTACAGGTGTGCTTAGAGCAGGGTTCTGAATCTTGTCAAGTAAACATCAGGGTTGTATATACGTCAACAAAATTGTCCTAGAAGTTTTCTGACTAGCATAAACACACGTGAAGCTTTATTATAATGTTTCAACAACAATACTAAGCACAGAATCGTCCAAGTTGTACTTAGAATAGTGGCTTTGTACTCAAGTATCATTATAAACACCCACATACCTTGTTTATTCTGGTAGGGGTGTATGACACAAGTACCACAAATTCTGTCCAAATCTCATATACCCATTTATACCACCATTAATTTTATCATGCGTAACTGTATCTTCCATGCCCCAGTGAAAGATTAGAGCCAGTTAATAGGTGAAATAAAACGTTCCATTTTCCAGTATTAATGACAAAAAGAACGTAGTTATTGCCAAGTAACAGTAAATTGTTGAAAGGTTTTAATGTCTTTGTATAAACATTTTTGATCATAAGTAACTTGCATGGCTAGGGGTCAACATGTGCATACCATGACCTTTTACAGATTGCCTTTCAACATGATATATATTTTATAGAGTTATCAACTATTCATTTTACCCTACATTGCAGATTTAATGACAGTTGGTGGTAGAAGAGAGTAAATACCAGATACAGTATACAGGGATACTGAAAAAAAAAAGAGATGTGTATCTCGAAAGTTCTAGAGGTTAGGCAAATTCGAAGATGAACAAAAGTAGTCTGATTTTTCTGAATCAGAATGAAGTCATCAATTCACAAACATGATACTTTTGTAATGCATTTGATTCTTTGTGTACAGTACACTTTTACATTTTACTAAAAGCTTGCCACGCTTCATGTATATACAGTAGGCCAAACACATACATATTTGGTTGACTCTTGATTTTTTTTTTTTATGAAATGCTGAATAATGTTGGCAAGTTTTATAGTTCTGGTACTTTTTGAAATATTGTAGGAATAACAAAATGTTGTGTTTTTTCAGGTTTCCGTATCATGTACAATAATTTTTTGTTGTTGTTGTTTCTAGGAAGAGTGCAATTCCTTTGGTTTACCTAAACTTGAAGAATGCACCCTCGATCCTGTTGATGATAGCTCCATGTCAAAATTACCTAACACTGTACTGCTTATTGAAAGTGAATTACCAGTAGAAGAAGCAGAAAATAAAGACACTTTTGTGGGTGTGTATCTCTTTTCTCAGGTTTTCTCACCCAGTGAAAAGGTGCAAAAGTGCATGATTTGTCCTGAAAAAAATAATTTCAAAACCGTCCGAGACCTAGAAAAACATTACCGTAAAGTTCACGATCTAGTAACCACCATCATGAAAGCTCAGTATGAGGAAAGCCATGTGTTTGTATGTATTCCTTCTAACGTAAATCAAAATACAGTTTTGAAATCCAAGTGCCGGTTTTGTCAAGCTTTACTACGAAACATCAACCAAGTTCATGAACATTATTCAACCAGTCATGGAAAAGTAGTACGCAATATTCCAGAGTCCCAGATTTCATTTTTAGGTAGATTTTTCTACTGTAGCATGTGTTCATATCCATCATCAACCATTACTTCTCATCTTGACCACATGAAAACTGTTCACAGCATGAAAACTTTTGTCTGCCGTCATTGTAATTTTTGTTCACCTCAGCCTTACAAGTTGCAACTTCACGTTCGACAGAATCATCTTTCTGCTATTCTTGATTCTAAGTGCCCGGCTTGCCAATTACACTTCAAAGAAAGAGGAGGATTGGTTGCACACATGCAACAGACCCATGCTGTGCAGACTGGTAAGTTTCTTTTTTTGTCGTAGTTATAAAAAATGACATGATTTAAAAACAAATTTATAAACATTGTGTGTGTGTCTGTAAGGCATATACTACGTTTTATTTCCAATATTTGATATATGCGAGCCAGGGTTACAGAAATGTAACACACATGAGCACATTGTGATTCAAAAAATTCAGCCAACAGATAAAGGTTTCCCACAAAAAAAAATTATTTTTCCAAAGAAAAAGACATTCTGTATTTGGATAAATGATAGATCTTGCCAAATAGTGTTACCTACTAGAAATGAGGATGATTAAGAATGGTTTTTCCCAGAACATCTCTGTTAATACATCATTGCCCCCTTGGTAGAAAGTATGTTTTTTCAATTATATATATATACATCTCCCTCCCTATTTTTTTTTTAAGAATTGAAATAGCATATTAAAAATAAAGCCCAAACACAACAACTTTATAGTACAGTGACGTTCTTGTTAAAAATGAATAAAAACCCTATAACCTGAGCTTCAGTTTGCCCCTGAAGAAGAAAGGTCCGCCTTTTGAAAGCACTTGGGTTATAGGGATTTTATTCATTTCTATCAAGACTTCATGAACCTGTGTGTTTTTTTAACATCGTGACATTCTAGTTAGTACTATTACTGTTCTTTTGTACGAAACTATTTTTTGAAAAAACTCGTGCACTGTTATGTGTTGTGATAAACTAAAGATCTCTATTAAAGTTTTATTATTATTATTATTATTATTATTATAGATATTAATGTGTATGTGGATTACATCATAAATATTTCAAACGTTAAGTTAAAATATATCTTATTGTATTTAACATGAAGCTATGGGTGTGTCTCCCACCTCAAAAATGAACAACAATTGCTCTGCAAATTTTGGTTATTGTGGTGACCTCATATGGGAAAGTTTAAGAAATACACAAACCCACAACATTTAATGCAACAGCAATAGTCCACCCTTCCATGACATGGTTTGATATTTTTAACAAAAAATTGACCATCTACTATAATTTTAAAAAATCGGAGGTGGAGGCATGTGTGAAGATTCTGACCATATTTTAAGTATCCAGTTGAAAATTGTTACATGTATTATATGATAAAACAACTATAAAGGATCGTAAATACCATTGAAAAAGATTTTGTATAAAAATACATCGACAAATTTGAATTTTTGCAACACCAATAGCAATTGTAGTTTTTTCAAAGTTTAATAGATTTATTGGGCGTTTGGTCCGGTATCTCAACAGTAGTTTAGGATCATCATTAGACAGTGAGTGAAATACTTCAAAAGTTTACCACTCGTCAGAGTCTAAGAATGGCTGTAACTAGCCAATGTGGTTACTATGTAAAATGGGATAATTTTCTAAACAATTTTGTTTTACAAGCTTGAAAACCGTCCAGTTAGTCTATTACTCACCCCCGGTGAATGCTGTTTTAAGACTACATTGTGTAAGGTTGACAGTGCTTATGTCTCGTTAACTTTAAGCCATGACGTTCACATAGAAATTTCACAAAATAGTTAGTTAAATCTTGGGTATTAACAGATGAGGTGCGTAGCTAAAAGAAAGATAATTACAAGGAGACCAAAATATGTTTTAGGCTGTCAAGATTAAACAATACTTAGTGACAGTGACTCAAGTTAATTAGTTTTTTTTTTTTATATCCTCCTTTTTTCTTATGAAAAATTGGGATTTTATGCATGTAAAGTGTAGGCTACTTTTATGTCATAGAAACAAGAACAACATAATACAGAGGAACAAGAATACATAATACAGGGTGTCCCAGACGTCTGGACCCGAAGGGAAAATAGACATTATTTCTAATGTCAATTGTACATATTTCAGGAAAGAAACTACCCTGATGCACAGTTTACCAAGAATTGATATGTGTATGACTGTTAATGGCATGCAATTTGTATAATAAATAAATAAATAATACATTGTGTATTTTTCCCTATGGGTCCAGACTTCTTGAACACCCTGTAGGTTTTATGAACATAATAAATACTAGAGTAAAAGAACTCTTTCTTCAAGTGAAAACAGCTTGAACTCCAGAAAACGTGTTTACCAACATTCTAGTCAGCGCCTTCTTTAGTGTAGTGTTTGAGAACAACAATACTATAAAACTTATAAAATGTATTTTAATAGCTAATAATCAGTTACTTATTTTATTTTTTTTAACTATAAACATTATTGAGCTTAGTTTTGTACTACCTTTTTACTATTATTTTAAATTATATGGATGAACAATAATTTTAAATACAGCTAAAATAGTGATTTTCTGTTATAGGTCTTAGCTCGTGTTGGTAATGTGAAGTCGTGTTGATTTTCAAAAATGCATGGATGTGCTATTAGAGAAGTGATTTAATTAAATGAGTACAAAATTCTCTTAGAAAAGCTAAAATTGATTCTAGTCTTGTTTTCTAAGCAAAATAGATAAGCATTAATATTAGCTTCTATGTTAGAAAATCTGTGAAACTTTTTTAATACCTGACATTACTTCTGAGTGTATTGAGTTTACTTTTTCTCAGACTAGTTGCTTTTGTAGTTTTCTGAACCAAATTGTGCCTAATATCTTAACAGATGAGTACATCTTATAAATCCTGATTTTTATTTTTAATTTGGGTCAATAAATCTACATGTTGGCTTTGAAAAAGGATGTGTCTAGACTAAAATAAAGATTAAATCTGAGTTGAGCATCTGTTATATAAGATACATGTTTGAATTTACAGTGTGTGTGAGTTCAGAGCAGACAAGATTAATAGATAGTCAGTGTTTCAAAACATTTAGTTCATCACTTGTGAAATACTTCTATACACCGAGTTAAAAACTGAGAGATCTCTGAAATGCTTATTGTGTTTTTCATCTTTCTCTTCAGCACCAAATATTTGGTCCTGTATTAAGTGTCATTATCCGTGTGAGGAGGAGAATCAGCTTGCGACTCATCTGGCCCAGTGTGAGAACTGTCAAACATTAACACCTACGAATAAACCAGAAGCAGATCAGCAAAGTGAACCTAATGTTGGTTCAGGAACAGTTTTCTATAAGTGTAACCTTTGTTCTTTGACATTTACAGCTGAAGAGGATATTAAGGTATGTAAAGAAATTTCAAAATGACTTAATAACCAGAAAAAGTAGTTTTATTCCCACTATTTTGTTGCACCAGATCACGGGGTAGTTACACCATACCAACATAGTTTTAAACTGGTAGACAGTATTGGCAATGGTATAACTATCCTTTGATAAAGCTGATAGAGAGAAACATAAAAATTATGATAATTTTCTGGAGATTAGTAATATTTGTTATATTTCTACGTTATCTGCTGCTTTTCAGTGCATATTATGGTCATTAAAAAATAAAGTGTGTTAAGAGAGTTTTTATTTCATTTTTGTTTATCTCGTAATTAGTATGTAATAAAGGCAGGGTAGGTTTAATCAAATTGTAGATGATACTATATATATATATGGGGTTGTAAATGATACTAATTAAACATATGTATAGGGGAAGCAAACTCAAACAGTGATGTCATTTTTTCACACGTTCATCCTTGCTTCATAGAACTTTTCTGTAGAGTGAAAATAACTTTTCACTTCTTTGTCAATTTAGAATTAATAAAGTCACATGTGAAATTATTTTGACATACTTTTTAACTATTGTTATAATTTACTAATAATCGTCTTTCAATACAAACTGAAGATCATATAATTGAACTGTTACATTTTGAAAATATCTTGAAGTTTTAATGTTGAATATTTTACATTCTTCCTTTTTTTGTGAATGTAACCATTAAAAAGACATCGATGATTAGTATTAATGTGTGTTATATTAAATCACGCCATCTGGTGGGACAGCAGTAAGTCTATACGGACTTACAGTGTTAAAATCTGGGGTTTGATTCCCTGTGGTGGACACAGCAGATAGCCCAATGTCGCTATACTCTAAAACAAATATTACATCACAATAAGTCTAATATAAATTTAAATTGCATAATTCTTTACTGGCCCAGTACAGGTTTCCACTGAAAAAAAGTGTTTATTTAGTAGAATTTCGAGTATACCTTGTTTGTTGTATGTTGCTGCCAATGAAACCTTTAGTTTAAGATCAGAAACACTATTTATATTGCTTATTTATGAGTCAACATTCTTCTTACCTGTATTGGTGCCTTAAAGAATGATGCAACTTAAATTATCATCAACCTCATTGTGCTACAATGTCACAAGTGTTGCCACTGTGTCCCGTGATCCACTGGTTAAGGCATTCTACATCGTTGGTTCCCAACTGCTGGATCGGTGCCAGTCCACAGGGAGATTTCGGTCGGTCTGCAAAATGGTTACGATGAAATGTGTTTTGAAATATAGCTACCAAAGTATATTGTTTTACTACGTCAAGTCAAATGTGCATTTGGTGCACTGGATGAAGTTCTGGAAACAACAGATTTTTATAAATATATACAAGATGGCCCAGCATGGCCAGGTGGTTAGGGCACTCGACTCACAATCCGCAGGTCGCGGGTTTGAATCCCCGTCACACCAAACATGCTCGCCCTTTCAGCCGTGGGGGCGTTATAATGTGATGGTCAATCCCACTATTCGTTGGTAAAAGAGTAGCCCAAGAGTTGGCGGTGGGTGGTGATGACTAGCTGCCTTCTCTCTAGTCTCTCACTGCTAAATCAGGGACGGCTAGCGCAGATAGCCCTCGTGTAGCTTTGCGCGAAATCCAAAACAAACAAACAAATATATACAAGTTTATTGAAACTATATTAAACGATCTCTGTATTTGATATTCTTTACATTTTGTTTCACGTGGAAATACATACTTCAATGTACAAATCTATATTACTATACTTTACATATTGTTATAATTCATTTTTATTTTTGAAATAGATTCCTTTAAATTTTTGTTTATTTATTTTGAAAAGAGGGTCTAGATATGATTTGGATGAAGTAGCATCATAGTTTAGGGTAGAGTTGTATAATAATAACAAATGGTTTACAAATCAGTTGTATGTTTTCTAACAAGCTTTTATTTTAACTAAAAAATTGGATTACAGTGTTTTGTTTTAAATCTTTGATAAATGGAGTTTTTATAATGTATGTATGGATAATTAAAAGGTATTGTAATCAGCTTAATTTTTTAAATAGAAACATATGGAGGAAGGAGTGCATCTCTCACCTGAGAACACAGAAAACAGAGATACCCAGAATTCGAACATTCTGGGTAAATCACTAGATAGCAGTACAGCTGAAAGTACATGTTTTGTGTGCTGTATGAGGTTTCCAACAGCAGATTTGTGTCATGAACACCAGAAGCATGTTCACATGCGTTGGGTGGATCGAGAAATTCCAGATCACTCGTATGAAGAGTTACCAGGTATGTTTATGTACATGGGTATCAATAGGAATATATGTATGTACGTGGGCGTCGGTAGGAATATGTGTATGTACATGGGCATTTGTAGGAATATATGTATGTACATGGGGATCGGTAGGAATATATCTATGTACATGGGGATCGGTAGGAATTTATCTACATACATGGGGATCGGTAGGAATTTATCTACGTACATGGGCATCAGAAGGAATATATCTACGTACATGGGCATCGGTAGGAATATATCTACGTACATGGGCATCGGTAGGAATATATCTACGTACATGGGCATCGGTAGGAATATATCTACGTACATGGGCATCGGTAGGAACATATCTACGTACATGGGCATCGGTAGGAACATATCTACGTACATGGGCATCGGTAGGAACATATCTACGTACATGGGCATCAGTAGGAACATATCTACGTACAAGGGCATCAGTAGGAACATATCTACGTACAAGGGCATCAGTAGGAACATATCTACGTACATGGGCATCAGTAGGAATATTTTTAAGTGGTTGTTTGTTTTAATAAGTGTTTAAAGTAACTTAGCAGCATGTAATTTATTTTTCAAAGCTGTATTGCCAGCACAATTCACAAGTACTGTTTGAGTTGAAGATTTTGTCCAAAACATTGAGTTTTATGTTGCAATACAACAGTTGACTGGACACATATCCAGTATTTATCAGTTACAATATTACAATAATGTTTGAGTTAATTTTATGATTATTTTTGTACAAAATGTACAAAAAATATGTATCGTTGCTCTATACTAACAGTAGTTCGTGTGACATTTTTTCATATCGATAGAAAAGCTCACTGTCCTCTTACTGACTATTCCTGTACATACCCACAGCATCAAAATGTAAAGAAGCTACAATGTGGCTGACATGGTGCAGCATTTGTGTTGATTTCCATATAAAGTTTAGGGTATATTTTTCTCCAACATGTATCATCAACCCATGCATCAGTTTGTATAACAGATAATTGATTGGAAATATCACTGATAATTGTTTAATACACTTTTGTGAATATTTTCAAATTTCATTGTGTGACTGTTGTTAGAAATATATGATTTAATACTTCTGTATGCTGAGTATCTAATGAATAATTTATAATTACAATGTTGTATAGCTACATAGGTTTTAATAAGTAGCGGAAGGAGTAATATAAAAATTGGTATAATTCATCATTACGCAGTTGGAAAAAGATTGTTGTATCAAAGCAAGGTTTTTCAAAATGTTCGTGCAAGTGTTCTGTATTTAGTTGGTTGACATCCTTGTAAAAAGTAATAAATTGGCACTAATCCTCCATCTTAGACATCCTTAGCCATACTTTAGTTGATACAGAAACTTGTTTAATCTTAAATCAGTGTGTTCTCTAAGTCTGATTTTTGAACTTGTATAACTAGAATTGCACTTAGGACATCTATATTGATTGTATATTCTGCAATTTTGGTATTTTGTGTTTCACGTGTGTGTGTATATACACACATATTAACCAGTATGTATTTCTTTAACGTGAAAGATAAAATACAATTAAATTAAAACGAAACACATTACAAATTCACATGACCCAGGAGGTTAAACTTTATTGAATGTGTTTACTAAAAATGAATGTTGATGTAGGTAATCTAGGATAGACAGATATCACATTAGAAATTTTGGCTCTGATGTAACAGAATGACATGAACAAACTCGAGTTCCTGTGTTTTAGCCTTATACTGATCCGACAGTTACAGTTAGTAGAAATCGTATTGAATATACAAGCAGAGAATCCCTTATAAAGATCTCAATTGTTAATCATCATGAATTAAGATTGTATTTCAGTTATGTTTGCTTCCTTTAATGTTCTGTGGTTGTTTTGTTTCTCCAAAATGTTTCCTAAATCTGCTGATTATTGTGGATAGTTATAAGTTACTAATTGGATATCGGTATCTATCTGTGCAACATGGAAGGGATTTATTTTCTACTTGCTGATCCAGCAATGAACTTTTAATCAATTCATAATTGTGTACACCCAAAGAAATGACAATAACTAATATTTTAAAACAACAATTAGAATAACTTTTGATACACCTACTCCATGTTGCATGAGCTGAAATCATCAATACCTATTAAAGTATTAAACAACCCATGAACTGTGGGTAACAAACTTAACTCACAAATAGAGATTCACCTTCATATATTTGTGTTATATACTCCTTTTTTTTTTAGTACGTATTATGATATACTTCTCGACTTGTTCAGTTTCACTCAGTTTTAAACCTAATGTTATCGGCACTTGTAATTTAACAGTTAAAACCAATGTACAACAGATATAAGTAAATTTTAATGTACTATTTATGTAATAAACACTTGTTAGCACCATAACAAAACACTGGTAATTCCTGAATCTAATTTGTACCAATATTAAAGTAATGCTTAAAACTTGTCAATGCAAACTATGTAAAGTTATCTGGATGTTTTATATTGAACTTAAATTACTCTGCAAATGATTAATTAAAAAAATTAAATATCTAAGGTAAAGCTGCATGCTTTTGTCCTTTTTCTTTGTAATATAAAAATGCTCAATTACTTGGATTATATTGTTTAAGCCTAGGAAATAGTGGTGTGTATTCCAGTTAGGTTTGAGAGAGATAATAGTTAATCCTTTTTCCTTTTTTGTGTTTGTCACTTGTCTGACAGACATATTGAGAAAATAGAAGCTGAGCTTTGATTTATCTCGATAAGTATATGTTATTTAAGCTGTGATATAAAGATTGTAACTTAGGAGTAAAAAAGAAAAAAATTTCTTTTTCTTTTTAGATCTTAACAATGGAAAGAACACAAAACAATGTAGCAGTGTTACTGAAATTACTGCATCCAAAAACCACAATCCGCTAGTGTCATCAGCCAGTTCAGAAGAAGTACCTGCTCCTCATCATGAAGAAAATGTCCTGAAGCCAGAAATGGACAGTATAACGTCTTCAGAAATGACAAGTGAAGATAATCACACTGAAGAATGTAAAGCTCCATTAGTTACAGATTCAGAAATTTCTGAGAGTAAAGAAGGTGGGGAATCAGCAGTTAAAGAAACTTCCATTTCAGAGAATGTGATAAATACTCAACCTGTTACTAACGGATGCAATGATCAGAAAACGAATGTCGACTCACCTGCTGGTGTTACTGAAACACAACAAAATGGAATTCAAGAATCATTACCCCAAAACAGTGTTGAAGATAAAACACAAGCTAGGACAGAATTCATTATGATCAAAGATGTGCCAACTGATAAACAATTAGTTGAGCTTGGTTTCCCTTCAAAAGTTGGCCATTACTGTCACTTGTGTGAAATGGTAATCCAAAGTTATCCTCTCTATTATATGCACATGTACAATGTTCATAGCCTGGAGAAAAGATTTCAGTGTATAATTAGTGACTGTAAGCATACTTTCAGCAGTGCAGCAGCATTTCAGTGTCATGCCCAGAAGCACAACCAAAAGTCTGAGAGTTTTTGTAGCCTTTGTGACATGGTTTTTGAAGACAGCAAGAACCTTCAAGATCATATTTTCAGCCCACAACATGGTACAAAATACATAAAAACTCAGGTACAGTTATTATTAGAATGTTTATCCAACAGACAGATGTCAACTACAAAGTTAATTCTTTAACTGTATCATTACTGATGGAGTTCATATAGACCACTTCATCAGCTTTTCAAAAATATTTTGCTAAACTGTTTACATACAAAATGTCTTGCTTGTGGTTCCATGACTTTGGTTACAGGATTCCTAAAAACATGTGACTCACACCAAAAATATATATAAATAATCATCTATATTGCAATTAATTCCACTAGTCATTGGGAAGAGTCTCTTCTGCATTTTTATACAAAAAAGAATTAGTAAGTAATTGTAACAGGCAAAAACGTGCAGACATTCACTGGTAATGAACAGCATGAAAACAAGTTGAGAGTTAAGTATGTTGAACATTTGAGCTGGATAATTTTGTAAATTTTTCTATCAAGTTTCAGTGTTCCAGTAACTTCAACTTATTCTTGTAATTGTTACAAGTAAATTTTTGAAATGTTGTTTTAACTGATTTTGGTCAGAGTAGCGTGTTTCCTGAAGCAGCCTTGATCACTGTGAATATTATCAGTAACTTTGATCTAATTATTAGACTACAGTATTTTCAGTAACTTTAATCTAATTATTAGACTACAGTGTTTTCAGTAACTGTAATCTAATTATTAGACTACAGTATTTTCAGTAACTTTGATCTAATTATTAGACTATGGTATTTTCAGTAACTGTAATCTAATTATTAGACTACAGTATTTTCAGTAACTTTGATCTAATTATTAGACTACAGTATTTTCAGTAACTTTGATCTAATTATATTATTTTCAGTAACTTTGATCAAATTATTAGACTACAGTATTTTCAGTAACTTTGATCTAATTATTAGACTACAGTATTTTCAGTAACTTTGATCTAATTATTAGACTACAGTATTTTCAGTAACTTTGATCTAATTATTAGACTAATTATATTATTTTCAGTAACTTTGATCTAATTATTAGACTAATTAGATTATTTTCAATAATCCACAAAGTAATTATTATCTATTTCTCTATTAATTTTCACATAAAGGTTCATTTATAGTTTTAGCAAAAGTAGAAGCACTGGTTTCTGATTGTTGATCACAGAAGTGGAGTTGGGCAATTAATGTAGAACTAGCTAATCGATTAATCATTGGGCTTATTAGTCGGTTGTATTCAACTACTCGGTTATTCTCATACGAAATGTGGATGGTAGGAAAATTGATGATACTAATTTTGATTGGTTGATTATTTTCATGACATTAATCAGTATAATAATAATAATTCCAAGCGTGTTACACGACGACTTGCTGCTCATTGATAATAGAGTTAATTGCTCTGTCACGGGTTTCCTTATTTTTAAGAGTGCATGGATTTTCCTCATTATTTGCTCTCGGAGGTATCTTCGAATATTGTGTATATGGTGGACTATTGTTACAGTTTATTGGGAGTTTTGCTACATGTGTGTGGGGTTTTATTAATTCACAAACATTTCAGTAAATTGTTAAAAACTGGAACAATCTTGTAAAAGAAAGAGCAATGTATAAGTTTATATTAGTATTTTGTAAATTTCTTTGGGTTAGGTCCAAAAACAATTTCACTGATTGTGTGAATAAAATCAGATTATTGTTTGATATCTAAATGTTATTGAGATACTTGAGAATCTTGTATCAGACTTTCTGATTTTTAAAGTCCTTGAAGTGTTATAAGCTACCTTGGAGTAATACAAAATAAATTGACACAATTCTATATCTTGCATTTTGTAACATCAATAGTTTTTTTTTGTTTTTTTTTTCAGGAGAAATATTTTCATAGTGAACCTCGTAACTACCGTTGTAAGGTGTGCCTCAGTTGGTTTGGGTTGTTTGCAATCTTTGTAAAGCATATGGAAACCGAGAGTCACCAGTATCGGTGTAAGTATTGTGGCCTGACTTTTGTTCAACCTGGGCCACGGAGAAACCACATTCAGAGTGTTCATCCAGAGATGGCAAATGTCTGTGAGGTATGCTATATTCAGTATTTTTACTATTTCGTTTTACCTATATACTGGAATATATTTTTCAGGGTATTCGTACGTCAAGGCCTAACTCTTTTGTGCTTGTCACATCTTTTAATATTACATACAAAATTTAAACAACTTTATATTCCATGTATGTCAATAAACTTGGATGAAAACATAATTTATAATTCAAAATTGCATAAATCTTCTGCTTTAACTTCTTAATTAGTACCTCCTACCTTCTTGATTTGCTGAGATATCAAAGAAATTTGTTAAAAATCAGAGAAGCCCCTTACCCCTTGTCTCTTTGACTTTCTAAGTTGTTTACCACTTGAACCAATCTCTTGTCTTGATTTTAACACCTGGATTATTCACCTCTTAGATATTTCCCATTCCTTTAGCATTCTGGTGCTACTCCAAACACCCAACAGAGTTTTTAACCTATTCAGAGCATACTTTGAAAGCCAGATAAACTATAGTAGTTTTGAGACATTCTGTTGTAGTGACTGGCATATTTTTGGTTGTAAAATACATATTTGAAAGCTACGTATTATTTTTTTGGAACACCCGAATCTCTGAGATTCAATGAGGCTTACAGAAAAATGTCTAAAATGTTTGATCATGTGCAAATGAGCTTGAGGACACAGTAAGTACCTCAGATCCTTCTTGTTATGTATATATATATTTTATTCATTATTACATATTTTTACAACAAAGGTAACTAAAGTGTATAAAAATTAGATAACTTCTCAATTTAACATAACAAAACTTCAGTAAAACATCAAGTTTCATGAGCTCAAGTGCTATATGAAAATAGCTAAAAAATAGCTCACTGCCTCAGTGAGTACTAAGTATAGAAATAGGTCAATAAAATAAAAGGAAGTGGATGTGAAAAGGATACTGTTAAGATGAGTAATTTGGAAGTTTCTAATCAATACTATAGTTATTACAGAGGAACAAATGGTATTTTTTAGCTTTTAGTTTCACTGTGCATTGATGACTTTGCGACAGTTAGTGTTAGGGTAGAGAATATGAGAGAAACTATGAAATTTTACTTTAAACAGAAATGATATTCATTTAGGAAGTTCTACAGATTATGCAAATGAAATGTGAAAAGACGTATTTCACCTTTTACTCAGACCGCATTGATGACTTTGCGACAGTTAGTGTTAGGGTAGAGAATATGAGAGAAACTATGAAATTTTACTTTAAACAGAAATGATATTCATTTAGGAAGTTCTACAGATTATGCAAATGAAATGTGAAAAGACGTATTTCACCTTTTACTCAGACCGACTACAGAAGTTGTAACTATATAAGAAATCAATATTTGTAATATTGAAAATGATCGGTGGTATATGTTAATACAAGTACATACATACCAACTGTTTGGATCTGTAGCAGTAATTCTGTGTTATTTTATAAGGGATTTGGGATACTGTAGCTTTCTAAACTTGATTGTGGATTTTTTGTATACTTTTATTAGATTTGTGGTGTAAAAATGGAAAGTTCACAAGCATTATGGGGCCACTTATCTGGTCATGGAATTGTTCATGAGTGCCCCAAGTGTCGGAGACGCTTCTTACAGAAAGAACAGCTCAGTGCTCACTTGGAAGTACACGAGTAAGTTGTTTTAACTCTATTAATGGAAAAAAAAAACTGTACATCTTCAGAAGTTACTATATTAAAATAATGGTAAATTGATGGGTAATTATTTTAAAGCTAAATTTTTAATCTATTGAAAATCATAGATAGTAATGTCTGTGTGTGGATAAAATTTTATAATGCGTTATAAAGTAAAATAGTTTGTCATTATTTACCATCAGACTCATTTTAGAAAATTTAAATTTGCTTTTATGAGACTTTTAGTATTTTGCTCAATTGTTTTATTAGTTTCAAGAAGTATAACAAAAGCTGACTGGTCTGATCCAGTGTTTCTCAACTGTGGTGCCGTGAGATTTGAGCCCAATGTTGTTATCTCTATGACTCCCCCTCCCCTATTAACTAAGCTAAGCTAAAAAATGTTAATGGTGCTGTGAAAATTGTAGAGTGTGTAGGAGTGTCTTGAGCAAAAGAATAAAGTTGAGAAACACTGGTCTGTCACATGTTTAGTTGCTGTGAATGTTACTGGCTTGCTATAATAATATTATTCATGGCTTTTAAGTATTTTATTAGTTATATGTAAATTCTAAAAGGTCTAAACCAGTGAAATAAAATTTTAAAACTTCTACCCATACTTGTTAAGAAATAAAACTCCTTATTGGATAAAAAAAAAAAAGTTTTATTACCACTATAGGCTCATGTTAAGTCCTTTCAAAATCAGCAAATGTGTCACTAAAGTTTTTGATAAAATTTTGATAGGTATTACTGAAATTTGAATTGTCCAAAAAATATTCATTCTCATCATTGATATTATTAGACCAAAATTCAGCTCTCTTCAGAAGTAGGTAATTTTGTGTGTAGCAGTTCCTTTTTCAAAGTTTGGCCTTTTGTGAGTATGATTAAAGAAATAAAAATGTCAACCTTAGCTTGTAATGTGTAATAATTCACTGACGGTGTCAGTAACAGTAAACACATTGACAATAATTTTGTGAACTCCACAAGACCACTAGAAACAACCTTAGATTAATTCTCTAATATTTGTTTAAAGGCCTTTGAACTGTTCAATAGAACTATATGAATCTTATGGGCTATATATTTTTTTTAAACATGTTTTACTCAAAATCTAAAACAGTGATAGTCAGTCATAAGTTAAAATCTTGAGCGCACAAATTTTACATTTCTTTTATTCGAAGAAATGTTTTATCCGAATTGTTTTGTGATGTACCACTCTATAAAATTTCACACGCCTAAAGTACTTGCATGTTATTTTGTACCCATCTTGTTTTGGAAGTTGTCTAACATTAATAAATTTAGTCTTCCAATGGTGTTGAATATTTTTTTGTGCGATGATATTGCCAAAATTCAACATCTTCAGAGGAACATTAAGGTATTTTTCAATGACTTGTATAGTTTAATATATTTATTTGAACTAATGGTGGTGGTTCCTGGTACTAATAAATAAAATTCTCTGTTGGCATATAAACTGCTTCAGATTTCTCTTGTAAATTTGCTGTGTATTGTGCATCTCATCAAACATTAAAGCAAACCAAAAAAAAAACATTTTTGTGTAAGTAAATCAAAATAACATTTTATGTTACAATACTATTCATTTTACTTTTTGTGAAGAAAGAATAAAAATTGCGTATTATGACTGATTCAGTTTCTTTGAAGTTTACTGTCTACAAGGTTCTGCTTATCTTTCGAAAATAAGACAGTGACATAATCTGTTATTATTTGTATGTACAAGTTTTGTTAATCTACCTTAATACAGGAATGTATTGTGTTATATGTTGTGTATACGAGGTTCTGCTAATCTTACATAATTTTGTCAATATCCCATTAAATTTTGTATGTACAAGATTCTGCTGGTCCAGTTTCAGCAAACCAATGGTTATACTTCTCATTCAAGTTTGTATATACAAGGCTTTGCTCACCTGCAGTTTATCATATTTCATTTGCAAATACTGTTTTATGGTATATTACAGGGGTGGCCAACCTTTTTCACAGTTGGGCCAATTTTAAGCTCTGAATTTTGAGTAAGGTACCACTGACCTGTAAAAAGCACTTCAAACCAAAATCCATAGGAATGGGGAGGGAAGGGAGTACAAGCAATCAGAGGTATTAAAAAAAGAAATGAAATAATTAATGAGATAACATGTATTTTAATAAAATTATGTTTGTATGGAAATTTCAAACAAAATTTGTTTTTATTTACCACAGCATGTGATATTTTTTACATTACCAATGGTCTGCAAGTTTTTTGATAGTAGCTATTCTCGTTCAGTGCTGCCCTCTATATGAAAAATAATTTTGGATGTCACAAGTCTTGAAACTCCCACCTACTCCACGATCAGTGTGGTTCACAGCATCTCCACATGTAAACCATCATGTGACAACCCTCCACCAATAGGATTATGACTTTTTTTTTAGCGTGCCATTTGTAACATGGGTGCTGTAAGTTTGGCCACCTCTGGTTTATATTGTTATATTTTACTATCATTTCTTTTGTATTGTATGTTTATTGACATGCAAGGTGACATTATTTTATGGTTTGTTTATTGGTCACTGTTGTTAGAGCTGTTTGAAACTTTTTAAGATTTTAGAATTTGTGTAATCAAAGAGACATCCTGGATAGTCAAAAACTATAGAAACAGGACTTTAAGTAGAAGTAGATGGAAGTTTTAACATTTGTTTGATGCAAGATGTTATTGTCAGCCAGGTCGACCTAGCTCATTATATTAAAGATTGAAAATAGCCTTGAACTTCACTTGAGTGAAACTGTTTTTTTTTTAAATACACAAAAAAAAAGTGAAGTTTTAGTAAACTATTATATATTATTTCTTTATCAAGTTATTTATTGTCACCAAAGACAATTATTGAAAACCTGCTACAAAATAGTACACACCAATATTCTGGGAAGCACTAGTTGAAATATCCATTCAATGCATGGGGAAGACATACTGCCCCCCCTCCACCACCACCACGTGGGTGACATAGGGGATACTTGCCACGTTTGGTGACAGTCAGTCTTGTGGTTTGCCAATTATAAGCAGACACACATAATGGTTTAGATTAGTTGTGTGAGAATCACCTTTGTTCTTCCTTGAATGAGCTTTTAGGGTATTAATATAACATTTTAAATTTAAACATTACTTCTACCAGATATAAGCAACAATAATACATAATGAGTTTCAATGTAGAAAATAAATTTGAAAATATTTTGTCTTTTTTCTATTCACAGATGCACTTAAAAAAATAAGTAAATAGTGTGGTTTAAAAAATACAATTTACTGTTTCAGTCCATCCAGTAAGTAATGTATCAGCGTTTGTATCTAACTATGTATGTTATATATATAAAACATTGTGTGTAAATACCATTTTTTTACAGCCCTCCAGTGTCTTGCCCTTGGGAAGGATGCAGCAAACAATTGTCTTCAAAAATGGGGCTTTACAATCACTTGAAATCGCACCAAGAAAAACGTGATTTTGATTGCTCTCACTGTGGAAAAGGTTGGTTGAAATATATACTCTCAACAATTATTTTAAATACAGAAAAAGTCTTAAAGTATAAGTGGTTATTGTGGAATATTTTTTTTAAATAATATGATTTAATTGAGTGTGTGAATAAACCCCCCCAAAAAATTGATTACTTTTTTGATCCTGGTCTCCGTGAGATCTAATGTATGAATTAAAGTGAACCCCCATTAATCCAGATGATTCTTTCGTATAGACAAATCTTCAGAACATGAAATTTAATCAATAGTCCATATATATTCCCATTCTGATTATGAACGCTACTTTTTTATTAAAAATGTGTTTCCTGTGGATACACGACTCCACGAGAGTCAAGTAGGAGTCCACCAGAAAAGGAAATGAGATGATAGTTACTAATCATGAAACACCACTACTCACTGTGTGTGCTGGCTTATGACAGATTTCGTGAGAATGATCTTTTTTCTTTTACTTGCGGTTGTTATTGGTTTATGAGAATTTTCCTGAGTATAGATGTAGATATAAACTAAGTGATTTATACTACAGTCGTGCTCCAAAATAAAGATACTTAGAAATATCGGCATCATTAAAATGTGATGTTTTTTAATACAAAAAAGCAATACATTAACGATGTAATTTGTATTCTGTAGATAAGTCATAGGTTTGAATGAAATGATGATTTATGTGAAGATAATAACATATGCTACTTTGATTGTGTAATTAACTTGTATAATTATTGATAAGTTTATTGTAAATATAGTTGTTGTTTTGTTTGTTTTTACCAGTTTCATGCCCATCCTTATTAATTTGCCCTGATACATTTATTCATTGACAATGCATGCTATTAATAGAACATCCGTTGTATTCAAACTTACTGATTCAACTATCCAGATTTTTGATAATCTGGAAGAACTACTGTATTATAAGTGCGTTCAAATTAACAAGGTTTAACAGTATTTCCTTATGAAATAAGAATTAGAAGATAGGATAAATATCAATAAATAGATGTGGTTCCTTAACAACTGCATGTTGTAGAAACCTACAAATGTAGAGGACGACGTTTCGAAAGTATTCCACCTTTCGAAACGTC